TCAGGCCACGATGGGTGACAGTGCTCTGGCAGCCCCCCCAGCCAGGTGTCCTCTTTCCAGCAGTCAGTGTGAATTCAGTGTAAACTGGCCAGAAATGCTGCTCCAGATCAGGCTTGCACATCCGAGCAGTTCAGTACTGAGCAGAGCTGGAGTTTGTGACCGTGGAAGTCATGGTCAGCCAGAATTAAGCATGTGGATTTGCTCCTGGGGATAATACTGTGTCCCACAAAGGGCTGTCACATCACTGGCAACCACCTGGCTGCTGCTTACCTTTCTCAGAGCTCCCCCCACCGTCAGGTGAAAGCTGACATAGTTATCAAGCTCCTGACAGTTGGCTTCTGAGCCTCACTGTTACTTGTCCCACCTTTCTGCTGCCTCCTCTCACTCTGGATGGCTGGCTGTGCCTTTGGGGTGCATTTTTGTTCCCTGATTCTGCCCTCTGTCCTCACTGCCTGCTTCCTGAGCTGCATCCCTAATCATTGATGCTCTCTTGCCTCTGTAGTCCTAGTTGCAGGATCTGGTCTTTTGTTACCTTGTTTCCTGGTTGAAATTAGCCCCTTCTGCCCTTGTTTCAACTGTAATAGCTTCTTGTTCCAGGCTATGGTTTGCATTTTGGGTTCTCTGATTCCAAAGCCCATGGGCCAACTTCTGACTCCACTCCTTTCACCTTGCCCATTGGATTTGTGGATCTTTTTGTACCTCAGTTGGCACTGCTGCTTTTTAATGTTACTCTGGCATTGCTGTTGCCTTGTCTATACTTGACAGATGCTTTCCAGTCTCAGCTGAGACACCCTGAAGGGGTTTGTAAAAGTATGCTGAGAAGAGAGATGCCTGAGGCTGCAGCCAGTGCTGTGCTGTGGTTCCCTCTCAGGGGGGAATGACACCCCCTCAGATCTGCTAGAGGAACAGACCGTTGCTTCCTTATCCTTTCCTGTCGCAGTGATCCGTGTTAAAAAATGTCTAGTCTTCATTCTTACTGCTGACCTGGATCACTGACAGAACCAGAACCAGACCCAGACTGCACATAAAATTACAGATTGGAGAGCACTGACCGTAGGAAGGGGACTGGAAGTAAGTAAGAGGGGGCAGTGATCTCTTCACTCCTTGTGGATACTCTTACCTCAGCCTGGGCTGCTTGAGAGGAAATGCCAAGGACACCGGTGATATAAGCCATGCCCATTTTTAGGGTATAGATGTCTGCTTGGGAGTTGTAATGCCTGATCCTTGCCAGGTTCTATCCTTTTGTCACAGAACAAGGGTGATACACCCTGTCCAGGGTGTCCTGCAACCCTCCCCTGAGCCCTTTTCACCAGTGGCTGCTGTGCTGACTAGGCAGAGGGGAGCTCCCTCTTTTGCCTGAGAAGGAATGTGAATTTAACAGCGGGGAAGAGAAATATTGCAGCCATTTTGCTAGGAAGGATTTAGGGTGTGTTGCCTGGAAGCTCTTTCTGGTAGAACCATTCGAGTTTGCAAGGAATAATTAAATATTCATTTTGAGAGATTGGAGAATGAGCACTGCTCTTTAGTCGTCTGGTCTGAGCACTCATATGGAGCGGGTTGAACCAAAATTCCAGTCTTAGCTTCACTGAATACTTAATTTAATGTATTTAAATGTTAATTGGACTCCTGATGAGTGCCCTGAGCATTCAGCTACAGAAGTATCGCTCATTCTTGTCTTTTTCCTTAGCCCAATTAATATTTAATTATTTCATACAAATTAGAACCGCCCTAGAGGAACGATGGAGATTCACCTTCTTGCGCTGTTCTCTGACTTGCTGATTATCCATGTGGGGTGAGGTACCTGCAGGTTCAAACCTTCCCCTGGAGAATGTCATGGATTCAAAACAACATCCCCCACATTTAGGATGGGTGCTCTGATCATTGAGTTGTTAGCTGGGGGGAAGATGCTTTGTGTCATGTATTGCCCAGGTCGGTAGGTGATCCCTTCTGGATCAGACCCTGTGAGGGAGAGGTGGGCGGATGTGTGGTGGTGAATCCTGCCAGTGCTTAAACACCACAAGTTAGGGCTGAGGTTGCCCATGACCATCCAGACTTGGCTGCATAGTCCCGGGGCCCTCGTGTGTTGCTGGCATAGGTGGTAGCCGAGTCCAGAGAAATGAAAATGTGGATTTCAGCTCCTGAATTGCCTTTGTGACTGTTGTCATAAACAGAACATGCTGTCAGGCTTACCTTTAAATGAAAATCTCTCTGTTTTGTTTGGCTTTTCTTTTTGTCGCTACTACTAGAAAGCCCTGTGTGAATACTCAGAGTGCTTCCTGCTCTTACCTCCCAGCAACACTGCAATGAGACGGGATGTCCAGGAGGGTCAGGCTCGGTGTTTATCTCGCCTGGGAAGGCACAAGGAGGCTCTGGATATTGCAGAAAAAATGGTAAATAAATCTTTCTTTTAGGCTTTGAACATGGAAGTATTGCCAGTAGTTCTTTTATATGGACCATTTTCTGGAAAAATATTCTTTGTGTGTATAATCCTTCAGGATGTTCAGTGCTCAGAGTATTTGGTAAACAGAGGGTAACTGTCACTGCAGATATAATCACTCTTTAGAAATCAGAACACCCTGTACCACAATGAGCTCCCTGTGCAGGGAGGCTGGTAGTCCTGGAAAGGACTAAATATCATGCTCTACCAGGCAGAATTAATGTAATGTAATAGGAATTATAAGAAAGGGGATAAATGAATGCTTAAATCTTTCCACTATAAAGGTGACGGTTCAAAACTCCCTTTTATTTCCATATACTTGCTGCCAAACTGCCATCAAGAAGAGAATCCAACCACAAACTGAGTTTTTCCCATAAAGGAAAAAGTCCAGAGGCTCTGAAGCCTGGTAGAATTTTACTGCTGCTGTTTATTTTATATAAAGGTGTTTATACTACAAAGAAGGGCAGCTGAATAAAACTCTGAAGGCGAATAAACAAATGACAGCATTCAGGACCTTCTTGCCCTTCAGACCAGGAGAAGACAGCTAGAGGGAATGCTGTCATCTTGGTGGTGCACAATCTGCACGTTCTATCATTTAAAATTAAGAGCAGAGTTTTGTACAATTTAAAAATTACCTTTAGTAATATTTGTGTGTCATTATTCAGGGAGACATTTTCTTAGGCTCTGAAGAACGATTCTGTTTTTAATCTGTGATCTTTTGTTTCTAGAGAAACTGCGCTACTAACACAGATCACTTGACGACGGTTCTCAACCTGCAGTTTGCCATTTACCAGGCTCTGGAAAATGTAGAAAAAAAGATCACGTGTCTTCAGCAACTGATCTGCTTACATCCTTTCAACCCCTGGTACTGGAAGTTACTTGCTGAAGCTTATGTGAGCCTTTTACAGAGTTTGTCTCCATTAGTCATTCCCGAAGCAAATCTAGATCAGTCTGCAGAGGTGAGTGTAAGTGGTAGTAGTTTCAAAACATCAGCTGAAAGAGAGATTAATTTGCAGTCTCGCAGATCAGATGGCCAGAAAGAAGGCCTTCGGTCCAGCCTTGCTACAGAAACAAAGGGGGAGGATGCAGTGACTTGCAGGAGCAGCCAAGCTGTAAAAGAATTCCCCTGTGCTTCGGAAGAACCAGAAACAACCCATGAAGGGAAATGTGCAGCCTCCGAGTCCTGGGAGCAGAACACGCCGAAGAAAGTTGGGATAAAGGCATGTGCCTCATTTATTAGAGCAAGGTAACTACACATGTTAGAATAACGTTAACTTCTCCCAGTTGAGAACAATTTAAAGTATATTTTTCTCAGCCTTAATATTTTCAGTTTACATTTTCAGTTGAAACGTTTGTTTCAACTCTGATTTAGAAACACCCTGCTATTGCTTCAGATCTAAGAAGCAAAATGCACTAGCGTGGTAGCTGTGAACAACCAAAATTTGAGTGGAAGGAGTAAACCAATGTCACGCACTGTTGAGAAGTAAAGTGTTTTTTAATGACCTTATTATAGGAATTTTTTCAAGTAATTATATACAACAGCCTGTTGGAGCATGGCTGTTTCCTGGTTTGGTATGAAAGCTGCAGCAGCAGAAGTGGCCCAAAGGGAAGGCCAGCCAGTCTTCCTTCTGCGAGTGCCACCTGTCTTATTTGCTTGAAGCCTCATGCTTGAGTGAAAATGTATTTTATAATAATACCCCAATCTGCATAATGGATGAGGTTGAAAAATGAACTCTGTGACAGCTGATTGACAGGGCTGCATTAAAATGCTCTTTCCTTTTCTTCCCTCTCTTCCCTAAACCCTTGCACACAACAAAAATCCCCAAAACATAATCTTTCAAAGACAGAATTAGGAGCTGTTTTTGTTAACATAGTCTTTGGGGTTTTTCAGTAATGTATTGGTCACCAAACGCGTTTAAAGCCATTTTGGGAACTGACAGACATGTTTACAGAGAACACTTTTCAAGTGCCTTGTTAGGGCAAGATTTAACAAATATAAAAGAAGATACAGTCCCTTTTATCTGTACTCGGACTAAGAGACAATGACTTTAATTGCTACCTGGGAGAAGCTGATAGATTTAGGACTGATACTGAATATTAAAGCTACATTCATATTAAAATAATTTGTGTTGCTTGTTTTGATGTGTATGGCTCAACATTGAGAAATTATGAATTGTGGGATTTCCTTGCTTGGCTGCACAGCTTCACAAAGTGTTATTGTGGTTTATATTTGCAGATACATTTGTCCAGAGTAAGCTTTTCCCCTTCCCAGGGCTTATGCATTAAATAGACTGTCTAATATTTTCAGGGCTGTTGGATTTTAAGTGAGACATGGATGTTGCATAAAAATATGTGTAGGGTAAATTGCACCTGGAAAAGGGATGTTAGTATTTTTTTTTTGTAGGAAATAAGGTTCTGTGTTAAAGCATCATGAATAATTGACTCTTCTAGTTCTGTCAGCAAAAAAAAAAATTGGAGAAATAGTTTTGTTTAATTTTCATGCTTTCTTACATTATGTTGATGCAAATATTGAAACAAAACTGCTTTACAAATTAAAAAATACTTTCCATTTTTACATTGAATTTCCCAGTAAAAACTTTACTGAATTTACAAATGGTTTGTTGGCTCAGACTTGTAAATATTGATGTTTATAAAGCTATAAGCTTCATCTGGGATCTTAAGTCTTCTCTTCATAAAAATATACACCTCTGTTTGAACACTCACTTCATTTAACTTTGGTAAATGTGATAAAGGACAACAAACTTTTTAATGCATCAGGCTTGAATTAAACATAATTTCAGTAGTGATATGACAAAGTCCCAGTGGTCCCTTGGTTGAATACACTTAGATATTTCCTCTGCTGACATATTTTACAGTCCCTGTGTGAGGAGGACTCTGGAAACTGCCACTGCTCTCTCAGCTTGAGCAGTTGGTGATGAGGTTCCCCTGTGACATGAAGCCACGTAGTGAGCACAAAGTCTAACCTTCACCACATCATGGTGGTGGCTTCTGGGGCACTTCCTTAAACACAAAACCTTGAGGAAAGATAGGAGGGTTGGCCTGTGTGGGGACGATGTTTGATATTTGTCTAAACCCCCCAAATTTCTAGCTTTTTGGGTTACAGAGATAATCACTGCCATAGGCAGCAACGCGCTGCTCTCCTGTTCGGCCTCGGTGCAGACGTGGGACACGTCAGGGACTGCAGTTGATGCTGGCACGTCCCAGCTTTGCTTTCGAATTGTGTGATGAATACAGGGGGAGACAGTGTTTGTGCAAAGCAACCAGAGATGCTTGGCGTGTTGTGTTTCAAAAGCACTCCTCAGGATTTGTGTCACAGCGCAGATGTGCCGTGCCCGTGGTAGACTGATACGGACGTATTAATTTCATAGAATCATAGAATGGTTTGGGTTGGAAGGGACCTTAAAGATCATCCAGTTCCAACCCCCCTGCCATGAGCAGGGACACCTTCCACTAGACCAGGTTGCTCAAAGCCTCATCCAGCCTGGCCTTAAACACTTCCAGGGAGGGAGCATCCACAACTTCCTTGGGCAACCTGTTCCAGTGTCTGACCACCCTCACAGTGAAGAGCTTCTTCCTAATATCTAATCTAAACCTCCCCTCTTCCAGCTTAAACCCATTTCCCCTTGTTCTGTCACTACCTAACCTTATGAAAAGTCCTTCCCGAGCTTTCCTGTATCCCCTTCAGGTACTGGAAGGCTGGAATAATATCTCCCCAGAGCCTTCTCTTCTCCAGGCTGAACAGCCCCAACTCTCTCAGCCTTTCCTCATAGGAGAGGTGCTCCAGCCCTCGGATCATCCTGGTGGCCTCCTCTGGACTTGTTCTAGCTGCTTCAGGTCTCTCTTGTGATGGGGGCTCCAGAACTGGACGCAGTTTTTGCAGTTGGCAAAAGTCAGGAAGAAAAGCTGTTTTTAAAGTACTGTATTTTGCTTGGTTTTAGGTTTGCTGACTTTCCCTTGCCAGCTGTGCCTTTTTTAACTGCCTTTTTCATTTCAGACTTTTACTTCAGCTTACCCAGTTGCAACAGTCATCCTTTGCGCTGGAGAACAACATAAAAAGTCAGAAAGAAATTGATGACAAAGTGGAACGACTTGGTTTCAGTGGAGACTCTTTGCTGTTGATGACCAAGGTGAGGGGATTTTAAATTGTGTGTAAATTCTCAGCTGTACGTAGGCTGGTTGAGGTACCTGAGCCAGTAAGTCCTGTAAGTTTGACGCTCCCCTGAGCTAATTAACAGTGGCAGGAAGCAAGGTAAATTAGCTGGGGTGGGTTGCCCTGTTAGTGCCTTATCTGGAACTGGCAGCGATGCCTGTGTAGCGCTGGCTTGTGTCATGCAGGTGCATCTCTGTTCTGCTGAGATTCTTCTTTTGGGAATGCTCAGGGTTGTTGAGTTTCTTATTGGACCTGAATGTGCAGATGCATCATCGCTGTGCATTTCCTGGGATGCAGATTTTGCCTCAGGAATTTCAGATGCCACAGAGTGAATCACGAGTATGAAATGGAAGCGGAGGTTGCTTTGATGGCCAGAGTAGTATTAAACACTTCCAGAAAAAAGTATTAAACATTTTCAGAAAAAGCCAGAGACTTCTTTTTAACGTGATTTCTTCATTCTGTTTGATTCTAGTTTTAAAGAAATACAAAGGAGGAGAGTAACATTGCATGACTTTATTCATAGAGATTAAACGTTTCTAGTGCTGTTTATAAAGATGCTGACTTTTATCTTGAGGAACAAAAGCAAGCCAGCGCGTTCTCCCTTCGCTGTCAGCGTTACAGCTTTAAGTTAGTGAGAGCCGAGCCAGGGGCGGGTCGGCGGGCGGTCTTGTGGGGACCGCGTCCGTCAGAGGGCAGCAGCACGCAGACTATCAGCTTCTGAAACGGCTGGGAGAAGAACCTTCTCTCCTTGCTTCCCTTGGCCCCACACCCCGCAGGGAGAGACCAGAGTGTTGGTGCTGTTGCAAGGTGAGCACTGAATGCAAGAGTTGCAGTTGAGATTTACGCTGCTACTCAGAGAGTAAAAATCCCCCCGTAGAGGCGTAGCCAGAAGCTGGGTGGGGTCGTGCAGCTGTGAAGCTTGAGCTCTGGTTCTCCCTGTTTATTGCGGAATGCAACAGGCAGACAACTTGATCCTGACTTGGAAACTTCTCCTGGATGGTGTGTGGTTCATGTGTCGAGGGCTTTTCTTTTAAACATCTGTCATTAGTGTAATATTTGCTGTTTTATCTGCAAGTTATTTTCTTGTTTCCCATCTTTTTTACTCTGTTTGCAGGTCATGGGACAGGATCTTATACCAGAAAAACTAAAAGAGGAATTTCAGGCTGAGGTAAAGTGCATAGGCCCTTCAGCGCTGGCATCATTGATAACTGCATCAGCCACAGAATTTGAAATCAAATGGTTCCGTAATCTCCAAGATGATTTATGTCGCTTTGACAGTCAATTCTATTCAGATGTATATCTCCCACCTTCTGTAACTTAAGGATTTTATTGTAAGTTATTATGGAATGATATATGCAATAAAGTTCATATTACATTTTTTAAGAATGCTTATTGTCTATCTTTTAAGAATACATACAAATCTCTGCATTTAGACTCTTAACATCTCATCATTTTCTTTGTTCACTGATTTGTTTGCATTTAAAATAATGAGGAATCCTGTATAAAATGGAGCTTTCAGTTCAACTTTCAGAGTTAGCTTTCCATCATAAACCTCACTGTGCTGTGCTTGAAGCACCTCTGATTTTGGGGGGCCTGCAATGCCAGTGGGATGGAAGGCTTCCTTTGTGACACCCAGTTTGAAAGTTTCTTGGTATCAGATTCTCCGTTGTTGCATTTAGAGCCATGGAATTAGCCATTTTCTTAATTCATTTTTTTAATATTTCTTGATTAATTGACATTATAGTGATTCCCTGTTCAGAGGTAGATAGATAGAAATCTTAAATATATTTATGCTGAGAAATTGTCAACAAGAATAATTCCATATGTTTTAGAAAAAAAATCTAAATGGTAAATACTTAACTTGGAACAGGAAGGAGATTTTCTTTCTTCAGAGCTCAGTGTTTTTTGCAGGCGTGGAACCAGCTATAGTCTGGTCTTCAGTGTGCTGAGACCAAGGAGGAGAAAAACTGTCAAGGCTGCTTATGTGTACTGAAGAGTGTTTAGTCAGATCATATCCTTTGTGAAACCCTGCAAGGAGGGAGATCTCTGCTGTGAAAACGGGCAGCGTTGTTTCTGCGCATACAGCTCCTTACGTTGCGCTTTCAGCCGTCAGTGACGCCACTTTGCGTCACTTTCTGAAGCCGGGTGCTGTGTGCTTTGGGCGCGTAGGAAAAGGCAGAGATTGTCCCGTAGTTTCTTTTGCTTGAAATAATTGACATTTGAGGCAAACAAGGTGTGCCCTTCCCTCCTCTTCTCTTAAACTTCGAGACTTAAATTCTTTGTAGCTTTTTGTGAGTGTTCTTTAGCGGATATGGTTTAAAACCAGGAATCTCTTAGACATAATTCACCATGACTTCACCTTTTCATGTTTTCTTTCTGAGGCACTAAAGAGTGATGAAACTAAGTAACTCACAACTGAATGATAACTCACCATATGTGAACACCCTTTGTATCTGCTACTTGTAGGTGAATTTTAAAGCTTTAAGATACTGGTTAGGGAACCTGGTATGGTATGGTGGCCTTCTGCTAAGTTGACTGTGAAACCTGTCCAGAAAAATGGGATATTGCCTTCAGGCATGTCAAATTATCTTTGATCGTTTGGTGACTTAATGCGATTAAACCACATCCTGGTCAGCTCGTTATGAAAGATGATGGCTTGGCAAGTATGCTTGGGTAAGCATTAATGCACTCACAGTGTATTACAGAATATTTGGTTTAGTCATGCGTGTGCTGTGCTAGGTGGAAATTTTTGTGTGTGTGTGTAGAGCACTGTATTGGGATGGCAGTGAAGCCTGCCCGAAGGGCTGGGGATGCTTTTAAGACTAACCGATGTCGTAAGTTTTCAGGAGAGACTGTTCATAGCTGCTGTAAATTAGTTGGGATGTTGGCATCAACAGCAGAACGTCTTACAGCAAAGACATAGCAAACATGGAAAGCTTGATGCCAAATATGTCAGCAAAAAATTGGAACAGGAACTTCTCACAGTTTGTACTTAAACTTATGGTCATGAGTAGCCACATACAAAGGCTGTAATTTGTTTTGCCACAGGTCTCGAGTAGGTTCAGTAGCTAGGACACCAGGACACAGCTTTTGTGGAACCAAGTCTGAATAGATATTTCATGGGAACTCGCCAAATGATTTGGCTGCACCGTTTAGAAGGTGGAAATAGCTTTGGAGCTGTTTTAGCAGCAAATTAAATCATTGCCAAATGTTGTCATTTTGTGATGAGATGTCCCCGATACACAGCAGCTAGCCGAGGTGAGCTGGAGACTTTTTGGTGTGCGTGCAGATTGTTTGACTTGAGGTTGTCTCTTAGGCTGGCAGCGCAGCAGTTAACTCCCCGCTGGCTCTGGGAGTGGAGGGCAAGTGGCAGTTCCTAAGAACAGGCAGTATTTTCTCAAACGTAACAATAAAGCAGAAATGTTGTTTTTAACCACTGCAAAGAAAACAGCACAGATGTTGTTCTGAGCGTGTGGCACAGTTACTGTTCCCAGTAGCCAGTGTCTGTTGTACCGGGGCTGTGAAATATTCCTTTGTCCCGCTTGCGCCTGGCGCTCTCTCATCTCAGCTACTTCAGTTCCTCCTGTTTTGGCCCGCTCCTTGCTTTTTTGGCATGCCACTTCTCACTCCAGTTTTCTGTTTCTGCTCGTATCTCACAAGAGACCTTGTGTTTCCATCTTGCATTTGAATGTCTCCTCATTGCTTCTGCGTCCTGTGTAATTCTACATCTGTCTGTAGTAGATTTCTTCATGGTTTGGCTCTTACGAGATCATTGTCGGTGTTGGTCCACACGCCAGTGCTCCACGCCGAGTTAAATACCAAATTTTAGTATTGCAGACTGCGAGTGAGAATCAATTAACAGTTACTGAGGTTTGATTTTTGTTATTTTAACACTTTCTCGTGTTACAGACGCTTTGGGAAGGACCCTCTGACTCTGGTTCTGATGCTGCTGAAATGATTGCTGTGTACAAACACCATCTAATTGTGTGTCTTACTGTTGAGTGTCTGAATACCACTGGCTTTGAGGGGAGGGAACACGTTAGAGCTGTAACTAGCAACATTAACACAGAATCAGAATGGTTTGGGTTGGAAGGGACCTTCAAAGATCACCTACTCCAAGCCCCCCATGCCATCTGCAAGGACATCTTTTGCTAGATCAGGTTCCTCAAATCCCCGTCCCACCTGACACTGAACACTGCCAATGGTGGGGCATCCACAGCTTCTCTGGGCAACCTGTTCCCATGTCTCACCACCCTTATTGTAAAAAAATTCTTCCTTATGTCCAGTCTAAATCTCTCCTCTTTCAGTTTAAAGCCTTTAAAACATTGCCCCTTGTCCTGTCACTGTGTGGTGGGTTGACCTTGGCTGGCCGCGTGGTCCCCACCCAGCCACTCTGTCACTCTCCCTCCTCAGCACAACAGGGGAGGGGAAAATAAGAAGAAAAAAAGAACTTGTGGGTCCAGATAAAGGCAGTTTAATAAAGAAGAAGCAAAGGCTGTGCGGAAACAAAGGAAAACAAAACATCTATTTATTCTCCACATATGATGTGAGCAGCCTCAGCCAAAGGTGTGAGGAGTTCAGAGTCAGAGCTTCTGGCAATGAGGGATGGAAACACCAGACTGGCTGAAGAAAATTCTCACCTCTGTGGGCAGTTGCTCTTGGCAGAAGAGGTTCAGGCTGAACATTGTTGACCTGAAGGGGCAACTGAGGTGAGTGGCAGAGAAGTGAAATTCTGCCATCCAGGCCATAAGCCATCTTCAAACCCCGCTGGAAGCCACAGAGCCCAAACTGAAAGCTGTGAGAGACATGGCAGGAAGTGCTCAGAAGTAAAAAGGGACCACCACAGGAGCCAGGCAACTGTTTTGAGCCCAGATGAGTGAACCAGAGATCAGTTTTAGAGCCTCTGAGAGTCAGCTTGGGTAGAGGACCGTCCTGGGTCCTGCCTTCTTTCAAAAGAGAACTTCACAAGGGACACAGAAGAACTGGAAGTGGACAAACAGTCCCTCATCCTGCAGGCTCTGGGACAGCAACCAGGAAAGCTTCCAGCATCCACAGCTCAATACAGCTGTGATCATAGAATCATAGAATGGTTTGGGTTGGAAGGGACCTTAAAGATCATCCAGTTCCAACCCCCCTGCCATCAGCAGGGACACCTTCCACTAGACCAGGTTGCTCAAAGCCTCATCCAGCCTGGCCTTAAACACTTCCAGGGAGGGGGCATCCACAACTTCCTTGGGCAACCTGTTCCAGTGTCTGACCACCCTCACAGGGAAGAACTTCTTCCTAATATCTAATCTAAACCTTCCCTCTTTCAGTTTAAACCCATTTCCCCTTGTTTTGTCATTAACTGCCCTTGTAAAAAGTCCCTCCCCACCCTTCCTGTAGCCCCTTCAGGTACTGGAAGGCCGCTATAAGATCTCCCTGGAGCCTTCTCTTCTCCAGGCTAAATGTCACCTATACAAACCTTCAGGGTATCTACAGAAGTGAATTTGTACTTGAAAGTTATTTTTTTTAGACTTTTAGGCTTTTGCAGAATGGGAGAACCTCTGGAGGGCAGCCAGGGCCTCCACCAGGCCCCAGCAAAGCCTGGATGAGGCCCTGGGGCACTCTGGGGGGTAATTAGGGGCCTTTGCAGGGTTTGACCCAGAGCTGGGGGCAGTACTCCAGGTGGGGTCTTGAGAGAGCAGAGTAGAGGAGCATCCCCTCTGTTGACCTGCTGGCCATGCTTCTTGTGATACAGTCCAGCAAATGATTGGCTTTCTGGGCTGGAAGTGCACGTTGTTGTCCCCTTATGTCCAATTTCTCATCCAGCAGTATCCCCAGGTTCTCTGCTGGGCTGCGCTGAATCCCTGCAGTCCCTTCATCCCCCAGCCTGTCCTGACACCGGGTGTTGCTCTGACCCAGGTGCAGGACCTCGCACTTGGCCTTGTTGAACTTCATGGGATTCACGTGGCCCCCTCCTCCAGCCTGTCCAGGTCCCTCTGGACGCCACCGTGTACCTCGACTGAATCAACTGCACCACTCAGCTCGGTGTCACCCACAAACTTGCTGAGGGTGCGTTGCTCGGTAGCAGTGTTTATTCGAGCCCTTCCCTTGCAGAAGATGGATGAGGTGCGTCAGCATCCTGCCGTGACCATCCTGACAGGTAGTTTCTGCAGCTGCCTGTAACCACACATTCCTCTCGTCACTGAATGATCAAGCTTGTGGGAGCCTGTAAGATTTTTGGCATAATTCATTGCTGAAATGGTCAACTCTGATTGTTTTCCATCAAAACTCAAATTCCATTCATCTGATGTTCAAGTTTGGCTGTTGTCTGATCTAGCACAATCTGTCTCCCTGATCCTGGGCTGAAATCAGCTCTTCCTAATCACGGTGCTCCTTCTGGGTTATCAGCTTGTCCCTCAGCTACTTTTCATTAGCCGTGTTCTCCAAAACTTCTACAGGCAAACTATCTTGCCCTGCAGAGATAAGAAGAGTTCCTTCATGGATTTAATGGGTCAGAGCTTCAGAGGCAGCGATCTACAAACCTCTCCCCATATCCCCCTCTGTGCCACCCACAGTTGTGCCACAACAGGATCAGGGAACTGAACCAAATTCAGGAGAAAAATCTTAATTAGGCTGGGGCGACACATATGTTTAATTCTGTTCCTGTTGATTTAAAAAGAAACAAAACATGTTTCCTCTTCACCTGGACTCTGACTGAATGGAACTCTCCTTTTGGAAGAGAAGAGAGTAAAGTGCACAAGCAAAGATAATATGAAGAAACAAAATGATTCTCAAAGGGATTTTAATGAAAGTCTTCTCTTTTATTTGAACAGTTGTCATATTTAGATAATTAAGTAGAATTGTCATAGGAATGAAAGTCAACTTTCCCTTCTTCCCAAGAAATCCGAAAAATGTGGCTATGTACAGAATTTACAATGATAGGCAATAGTCTATTGTTATTCTGGACTCCAAAATTTGGTACCACAGGTAAAAATGTCCACACAGAAGCTAGAGCTGGATGGTCCATCCTGGGCCTTTCACAATGTTCCGTAAACTTTACCGGTAGGCTTTCAAAATCATTGTTCTTCCAAGGGTGAGAAACTTCCCTCACCTGAGATCTTGCTGCTGCATACCATTCCCCCCAGTAACTTTGGGATTTAGATGGAAATCTTTTGTTTAATGAATTTTCTTACTATTTTTTGCCTTTCACTTACAAAAGCTTCCATCATTTTCACGGATTATTGGGTTAA